TAATTACTTAATTTATTTTATTTAAGTTTATTTTTATTATTTAAACCATTCTTAATAAGCTTTTTTTAAATATTAATTAAGAAAAGTTTTATATTATTAACTTTAATTTTATTATTATTGCATTAAGTATTTATAATTAATTTTACCCTTTTATTTATAATCTTATTATAATAAATAAAGTTATTATTAAGAAATAAATAATTAAAATAAAAAATATTTATTGCTAATTAATTAATATAGCTATCTTTTAATTTATTATTATATATTATATTATTAAAAAGTAATTAATTTATTATTTTATAACGATAAGAATTAATTACTACCTTATTAAATAAAGCTTAATTATTATAAAAACGTAATTTATTATTAATAATATATAAGTTTAAATAATTAATAATAAATTTAATATAATTAAATACTTTCCTTATTATAAAGGCTTTTTTAAAAACAATTATAATCTTACTTATATTTTAATAAAGTAATAATATTTATTAATTAATAATAATAATATTATTAATAATAATAAAGAAAAGAAATAATTTAATAATAATAATAAAAAGAATAATATTATATTGCTATTTAACTTAGCAAAATAAATAAGTATTAAAAAGCACGTTAAAAAGGAAAAGGCTAAGTAATATAAAAAGCATGAATATAATAATTATTAAATAAAGGGCTAAGCATAAATATTATTATTATATTATATTAATAAAATTATAAATTTTAAATACATTAATATTATATAACTTTTTTATTATATAAATAAAATAATACTTATATTTAAGCAGCTTAATATAATTTATTATTAATATACTTAATATAATTTATATTATTATTTCTTATATTATTACATTATAAATTATTATTATAATATAAAGAACTTTTTATAAATTTCTTAATTTCCATTAATATATATATATAAGAATAAACCTTATTATAAATTTACTTAAATTATATTTATATTATAATTAATTTAATATATATTTAAAATATATAAACTTAATAGCTTTATTATTATAAGCGCATTATATTAATGCGCCTTTATTAAATATAAATAATAATACTTTATTAAGCTTTTTTTATTATAATAAATATAATGCATAACTATTTATATATTATAAATATATTTAATATACAATATTATACTTTAATATTAATTATATAAGGTATTTAATTATTTTAATATAATAAATGCATTTTTCTTTAATTTTTTAAAGGAAAATACTTTTACTTAAAGGGGGAATTATTAAGCCTATAATATATTATTATAATATAATGGTTTATTATAGCATAATAAATAGCTAGTTTAAAGAAAACATAAAGATTTCCTTATTATACTTTAATAATATAAATTATTATATTATAATAATACTTTCTTTAATATCTTTTTAAAAAAAGAATTAACTTTTTATTCCCAACCTATAATAAGTACTAATAATAATATTTAATAATTAAAATAAGTAAAATAAATATAATAATATATTAATAATAATAATTTTATTATTTTTATAATATTAATTAAATTTAATTAATATATAATTTTTATAATTATTTATAATTAATAATTAATAATTAATATTTTTTTAGCTTAATATTTTTATTAAAGTATTTAATTTATTTTTAATTAATTTTATTATTTATTTATTTATAAAAAATAATTTTTTAATAATTTAATTATTTAAAAAACTTAATTTTATTACTTAATTAATAAAGTAATAAGCATTTTAAATAATTATAAATAATAAAATTTATAATTTATTTATATTAATATATTTAATAATAATTACTTATTTTTAATTATTAAGTTAAATTAATATAACCTTTTTATATTTATTAATATATATAATAATTATTAATAAAATAATTATACTTATTATAAAGTTAATTTTATTAAAATTATAAAAGTTATTATTAATAATTTAATACTTAATTATTATATTATAAAGTAATTTAAATTAAGTTTTAATAATTTTTAAATTTTTATAAAAAGCTTTTTAATAATTATAAAAATAATTAAACTTAATTTTAAAGCTAAGTTATTAATTTATAAAGCATTAAGCTTAATACTTATTAATAAGTTTAATATTTTATAATGCTAATAAAAAGTTAATTATATCTTTTATATTAAAATATTATAAAGAAAATCCTTAAATATCTTAATTAATAACATATTAAATAAAGATTTATTTTTTAATTTAATTAAGTTTATATATATTAATGCATAATTCTTTATAAAAATATTATTAATTTATTTTATAATAAAGTATAATTTTAAAAATATTAACAATTTATATAACTTTATATAACGTAAGAAATTTAATGCATTTTTCTTAAGAATTTTTAATTATTTAAATAATTAAAAGTATTTTATTTTTTTAAAAGGTTTTAATATTATAATTATTAATTTTTAATGCATTAAATATTTAAATAAATAAATAAATAAGAAATTAATATAAAAAGCATTAATGTAATTTTTATTAAAAAATAATTCCCTTATTAAAACTTAATTACTTTTATTTAAGCTATAATTACTTATATTACTTTTAATTAAGTAAATTAATTAAAAATAAGAATTTAATTATAATTAATATTAATTAATATTAAATTTAATTAAATTATTTGCATTAAGTAAGTATTAAGATTAATTAAAGTTAATAAAAGTTGCAAAAGTACGCTACTTATTAATATGCGCTACTTATTAATAAATTACGTTAAGTAAGTTTTTAAAATCTTTTATATAATAATTAAGAAAATTATATATTTTTAATTACCCTTTTAATTTATAATTTATATATTTAAAGCTTTTTAAATAAATGTTGTATTATATAATTATTAATTAATTATTAATTAATTAATTATTAATATATATTATTTAATTAATAATTTTAAAATATTAAAATATTTTATTTAACTTTAATAAAACTGTAAAAAAAAGCTTTTTCTTTAAAATAATTACCTTTAAAAAAACAAAGCAATTAAGCTAATAATAATATAATAATAATTTTTTTATATTATTATAAGCTAATCTTAAATTATTTATTATAAAGTGCTTAAATAAGGTTTATATTTAAAGTATAAAGAAAGAAATTTACTTTTTATTTATACTTATATTAAAGCTTATTTTTATAAGGCTAAAGCCTATTAATTAATTATAATAAGCCAAGCCTAACTTATAATATATCCTTTTTTTTTAAGTTTTTATATAAGCTTTAAAAAATAATTATATAATAAAAATAAAGAATATTATAATTTAATTATAAATTAAATATTTATTTTTTTTACTTAATTATTTAATTATACCTTAATGTTTTTTAAATATATTAAAAGCTTAACTTATTTTTTATAATTAATATATTTTTAATTTTTATAATTTAATATATTAATTAATATAAATTAATAAAAAATAATTATTTAAATATAAGTTAATAATTAAATTAATAATATTTTTATAATCTTTTAATATAAGCCTTTTATATAAGCTTCTTTACTTAAAACCTTAAAATTATAAATTTATTATATAATTTATAATTAATTAATACTTAATTATAAGTAATTTATTTTATTAATAAGAAATTTTTAAATTTTAAGTATTTTATAATATTAAATTAATTAATATATAGCTAGTTTACTTTAAACTTAAGTTAATATTAAGTTAATAATATTTTTAAGCCTTATTTTATAAAAAAAATTATATTTCCTTAAATAAACTCTTTTTTTTTATTAATTTTAATTAATAAAAGCTATATTTTTATTTTTTTATAATAATTAAAATAATTATACCTATAATAATTAAGCTAATTATATATAAAATATTTAATTTTACTTATTAAAATTATTATAATATTAATATTTATTACTTTATTATTTTAAGATTAAGTATTATTCTTCCTTATTATAGCCTTAAAAACGCCCTTATATTATTATAAAATAAAGTAAAAAGCCTTAAATATATTTAATTACTTTTTATAATTAAGTTAAACTTTTATTATAAAAATTAAGTTATTAATTATTAATAATATTTTATATTTATTTAATTAACTTTAAGCCTTTATTATATAAGCTCATTAATTAAATTAAATAAAAAATTTTATTATTCCCTTTTTATAGCATTATTATAATATAATTAAGCTAAGCTTAATATATCTTTACTTAAAAGGGTTTTTAAATATAAAGCAAACCTTTTTTAAAAAGCTTTTTAATTACTCCTTAAATATTTTTATAAAATTAATATAAAATAAAAATTAATTATAAAAAGTTCTTAATTAATTAAATATATAAAAAAATTAAGCTTCTTTAATATTAATTACTTTTTTATTTATTATAAACTTAGCTTTTATCTTTATTAATTAAATTATTAAATATTATTAAAATAAGAGTTTTTTAAAATAAAAAAGGGCTTAATAAGCTATTATTATTATTTTTAAATCTTATTATATTAACTTTTATATAATTATATTATAAATTTATAATATAAGAAAACTTTAAATATATATTATAAGCTAACCTTAAGTTATTTATTATAAAGTGCTTAAATAAGGTTTATATTTAAAGTATAAAGAAAGAAATCCGCTTTTTATTTATATTTATGCTAAAGCCTATTCTTATAAGGCCAAAGCCTGCTAATTAATTATAATAAGCAAAGCTTAACCCGTAATATATATTCTTTTATACCCTTATTTTATATATATTATACCCTTGCTAATTACGTAACCTTTAACATAAAAACTTTTTAAATAAGAAGCTTATTTATTTTAATTTTTTTAATAACCTTAAGCTTTAATTAACTTTTTATAAAAAGTATAATATTTCTTTTTTAAATATTTATATAATATGTTAATAAATTAATAGCTTTAAAAATATATTATTATTTTTATAATTAATGCTTTCATTTATTAAAAAGGTATTTAGTTATAAATTTAAATTATATTAGCTTTAATATATAAAAAGTTAAGAGCTATAAGGAGGAACGATAGCATAGGCTTAAGCAGCTTAGGCGGCACTTAATTGTTGCACGCGACTCTTCTTAGATCCGCCAAGAACATGCCCATACGTTCATAGATAAGGCACAGGTTCTGGTTGGAACTCCTAGGGTCCTCCAGCTCGCAGCTCTCGTGCAATAGCCGGATGAACTGAGCACCGCCGCAGTTTGTAACAAGCTTATTGTTTAAAACCTCGTGGAGATGCTTAACAGCGGCAATCTCCCGCTTCGCCTGACTTTGATTGGCGGCGTAGACCTTGATGGCGACATACCGGTGGCCCCTAAGCAATGCGTCAGAATGACTGTCTTGGCGGTGGGATAATTATCTAGTAGAAGGGGTTTTACCTCAGGTCGCGGCAGAGCCAAGATGTCGAGGAGGTGCCGTAGCCAAGCTTCGTGATGACTTGGTAGCGGTCCCGAATCAACTCGCCGATCCGGACAGGGAAGAATTCTTTGGGCGAGTACCACGAGTAGCTTTCTTCATCGACTCGGCGGGACTTGGCAAACTTGTGAAACCCGGAGGAGGGGAACACCCTAGCCGGGGAGGGAGGACGAGAGGTTGAGCTCGAAGGCATGGAGGGCTCTCGTGCTGCTTCCGGATGCTGAGCTGTGGTAGTAGTATTGGCTGGTGGTTGAAACGGCGTCGGCTTTGACTGCTGCCCCCGTTTCCTCGTGATACCTCCTCCGCGGCGGCAGGAGTTGCCGCAGGTGTGACAACATATTTCGATCTGAGACATGCTGCATTCAAGAGGAGCGGCGATTGCCTCAACGCGCGCACGTCGACTTCATTACTGGCTGTGAGACCTGGCCGCAGTCTGAGATGGCGTGATGCACCCATGCGCTTGAAATGATGAATGATGAGGTTGGTTGGGTGCCTATTAAGCACCTTACGCTGTTGCTACCTTCTCGTTGTCCCGACCGTTACTGTAATTATTCTTACAATACCAGTATAATTTTAAATACTTGAAAATAATTTTGTGCATATTATAAGAGGATCGTTGGTTTATTGGTATGGCGAGCTACGGTAGATGGACCAAGAGATGGAGGAAACTATATTGGACCCTGAAATTGGTGTATTGGGTCGTCAGCTGGGTGGCTGCTGGATCGGCCACAGCATTCGACCGGCCATACGGGCTTGCATGACAAACGCCATCGTACGGTACATGGCAGTAGGCGACAATGTATGGTGCGGCACGAGGATATCATTCATAGCCTACCCAGCCAGCGCTACAAGTAAGCCAAGGCTCGCCACTCCAATCGCATGTTGCATGTAAAGGACGCTCTGCTGGCCAATCCTTTTTGCTGAGCGTGTCACGCGTGACCCGGGACAGGAACGAGATGTCAGACGTGAGGCGATACCAAGGGCTCGGTAGCGCGGCAGATACCGGTCTAGGGGTTCCATCGTCGTTCTACTAGGTACGGAGTACAGAAAGCCAGCTCGCGGGTTCCGAGGCGACAGGGCGTGCTGAACACGAGCCCTGCCCAGCTGCGGCAAAACAAGGTGAGAAGTTCGTAGATTGCCTAGGTGATCTTGGAATTCCGCCCAATACAATAATACACAGACCCGAGTGCCCGGGTCAAGACCAGCCGAGGCAAGCCGGGGGAGAGGATGAAGGCTCTCATTGCTGGAAGAAAGCCGTGTCCGTGGTGTTGACGTACAGTATGGGGCTTGCACGGTCTCGCGCCCGCCCCTGTTCTTCGCAAGGCACCGCACTGCTAGGAATAGAATTCGGGCCGGCCCCAGCAACAGCAATTGAAGGACTGCATCCCCTGGCCCGGCTTAACACTAGAGTCCGCCCCGTGGCCCGCGGGTAGCCCATTCCATCGGCCGCCAACGAATCCTCAGTGCCCATACACAGTAGACAGGGCAGTGGCCGGCTTGGCACTGATTCCCGGAGCGCGCCCGGGCTTCCCGTCACGCCACTGACGATATTTATGCATGTACGTTGGTAGTGTTGTTACTGTGTGTGCCGGGCCGGTGACCAGACCCTGATGGAACGTTCCTGGAAGTTCGAGAATTTCCATGATAGACTTTTACAGGATGGAGCAGTCCCCAGAAATCTACAACTCTACAGACTCTCCGTCTTTCTCCCCAAGATCATTCACGCAGTGGGTCATCCAGACAGCCCCATAAGCGGCCATGATCGTCGGTGGCATCCCGGCCGCCGCCCAATCGGCCGCACTCTGGCGGCTTTGTGGAGACACGACACCCGCATGCTCCGATTTTCTCGTCTCCAGTCAATCTAAAGAAACTCCAGGACCCCAGACAAGATGCTTGCACAGTCGCGCCACAACCCACCCATCTCCAGACTCCAGTTTTCCTTCTCTCCACGGGGAACCTGTCGGACATGTGCGTGGCTTTTTCACGACACGACACGATCTTTCAACGTCCCTTCCTCCCGGTGCTGCCTACTGGCTGCGCCTAGGCGCGTCTCGTGAAGATGGCATGACCAGAGCCGAGCCTCAAGAGGGACAACCAGCCCTCGACTTCCTCTGGCGGATGCCTCGATCCCGGTGCATGCCGCCACGCGGTTGCTTGTCGCCCTGATGCTCCGTCGCGGCTGCTTGTCAAGTAAGCCTATTCGTATGGGTTAATCTCGCATGGGATGATTTGTGGGATAGCGAGCATACCGATAAACTCCGATGGGTACCGTCCTGTAGGTAGGTAGTAATTCCCCGTGGCACAACCTTCCATGATAACCTGCTATGGGATAGTCCCCCATAGGACACCTTCCTATGGGATAATCTGTTTCGCTTCCCTCCTGTTTCTCGTTGAATAACCTGAATGGCTTGTTGCTGCCCTCTACTGTGCTCTCGAGTGCCTGGTCCACCCTCTGGGCTGAAATCAGCTCTCACAATGCCCATTGGTTCAAGATGACCAAACTGACCGGCAGGAGCCAGCCGTTGACTCGCTGGGGATGTGGACGGAAGGATTCTCTAGCTTGCTACAGTACTCCCGCTGCGAGAAGACAGTGCCCGCCCCCCCCCCCCTGCCACGCTACAGTAAGTTGGTGATCCTACCCTGCTGCCACGGCACGTCGCATGTCGCCTGCTCGGCCCCCAAGACTGTCAAGCATCGCCAGCCGGCTTGGCCAGCACATCCTCGTCAGGGCGTGGGTGCGGTGAAGCTTTCTAGGCATCGAACGGTGCTCCTCGGGGCGCACAACATGGCCATGTCCGAATTGTCGCCTGTTCCATCAGCTGCCAGCGCGAATCCCAGTCCTATCCCAGTTCCAACGAAGCTGGTCACACAGGAAGGAGCAGCGAGCGGCCACGAGGACGACAATTTTTAGCTCTTACCACAGTTCTACAAGGCACTGCGTATGGTGCCCGAGCCAAGCATCCATCACCAGAGAGTGCCAGTGTGGTTGGACCGTACCACGGCACGTTACCTACACGACAGGTACGCTTGCAAGGGCCTCGACATGAGAGAGGAGCCGGCAGCCGGGAACCCTGGCGCATCGCTCCATCCGCTCGACCTCGGCCGAGCAGCCTTTTCGCCCTGGATCCTCGATGAGAAGAAACAACCCTCCCTCAACAAGGCCCTCTCCATGGCCACTGCCACTTCCCCAGACAGCCCAGTCGGCCCTTCCAGAGTCCCAACCAACCCGCTTTCTCCATGTTCCTACACATACATGACATGGATGATCCACCTACGCTTTCGTCTACTCGTACCGTATCCTGACTGGTTCATGTTTGGAACATTCTGACATGTGGTTTTACCACGTCTTTTTACCTGGCTTCGGCGCCACTGCTACCACCCATGGCATTCCGCCCGCTCCCTTGGTAATCCCACCCCGTCCAATGTCACCTGCTGACGTTACGAGACTGTGCGGAGCCAGATGGAGCGGCTCGAGTCCACCTCGCGTTTGTGAGGGAGCGTGGTTGTGGCATGGGTTGGTCCGGTCAAGGTGTCCCAAGGATCCTCTCACCTGCATGGTAGCATGCTGTGTACATACATGTATGCAGATCGACAACGAGGCTGCCGCAGATACAGTGCACGGTACACAAGTATAAAGGGAAAGAACCTCCCAGGTCCTCCCCTCTCTTGTCCCCCCCGTAGTTATTCATTTTCCCTCTATCCCTAACTCAGGCCTTCGACCCTGCTCAAGCGTTAAGAGGTCGTCAACAACCGACTACTCTACAGAGGAACATCAATCCATTCCTCTAAAACATGGTTTACCAGTTCATAGCCGATATTACTTAGCCACAACTTTATTTTACAAATAAAAAACATTTATACATAACTATACATTATGCTTAGTAATTACTTAAAATAAATATAAATTTATATATATATTTTTATATAAATAATTTACCTTTATTTTAATTTTTAGCTTCTTAATTAAATCTTTTATAAAAAAGTATAAGTTTAAAAGATTTATTAAAAAATAAGTTAAATATTATTAATAATCTTTAATTATAATATAAAGTATTTTTTCTTTATATTCTTTATATAAAAATATAAAATAATATAATTATTTAATATTAATTATAAATTAATAAATTATATTATATTATTTAATAAATAAATTATCTTATTAAAAATATTAAAAATATTTTTTATTACATTTTTATTAATATTTTTATATTAATTAATAATTATATTATTAACAACTTTTATATTAAAATTTAATTTATTTAAATATTTATTAAAAATAAATAATATTAATATTTTTTTATATAATTTTATTAAAAACTTAAAAATAATATAAGGCCGCGTAGTGCATTGGTTATACGTTTAGCTTCTCTCTACGGAGAGCATAGATTTAAACCTTATTATAGCCGCCAAGACCTTTTTTAGGAATTTTCCCCTTAACTATGCTATAGTAAATCGCGGCTTGCCTATTTATAACCCCCTTAATTAAAAAAGGGGCCTATGCTTAAGGCCTTAAAAACCCTATTAAAGTTAATAAAAATAAGTACTTAAAAAAAGCCTTAAGCCCTTAAAACCTTAAATTAGCAGCGCCTTAAAATATATCTTATAATAAAGCCCCTTTATAAAAAGCCTTTAAATTAATTAATAAATAAGCCTTATTATAAGCCTTAATTAGCTTTATTAAAAGCCTTGCATTAGCAAAGGTAGCTTTACAACTTTATATTAAAATAGCCGCGGCTTTTAATAAGAAAATAATAATCCTTTATTAGGTAATTATAAAGAATTTGCTTATAAAAAGCGGCCCTTATTAAGATTAAGATTAAAAAAGAAAATTATTAAGAGAAAAGAATAAAGAAAGACTTTATAAATCTTAAGAAAAGTTAAGGAAAGAGCTCTTAATTAAAAGAATTAAAAGGCATATTAATTTTCATTTAGCTTTAAGGCACGGTTTTTCTAATATAAGTAAATTTATAAAGGAATTGCATGCTAAATTAACAAGCTTTATATATATATATATATATATATATATTATAGCTTTATATAAATAAAATATTATTATTAAAAATAATATAAAGAAGTTATAAAACTTAATTTTAAATTAATAAAACAGAATTAATTATTATAATTAAAAAATATTTATAATAATATAAAAAGTTAAAACTTTTATAATAATTATTAAAAAAATTAATTAAAATATTTATTATATATCTTTTATATTTAATAATATTATTTATATTTTTAAAATTATACCTTATTTTAATTATATACTTTATTTATTTTAAGTATAGCTAACCCTTATTAATTAAATATTTATTATTCCCATAAGTTATATAATCTTTATATAAATTTATATTAAATCCATAGTAAATCTATAATAAATCCATCGCTAAGAATTAGCGATAAATGCATTATAAAACCTTGTAAGGTTTTATAAAGAATTTACTATAAATAAAGAAATATAAATAAATATTTTATTAAATTTTATATAAATTTATAATAAATCTTTTATAAATTTTATAAAAGATTTATTATAAAACTTTTATTAAATTAAAAGTTATAAATAATTATTAAATATAATATTTAATTAAAAAAATTTAAAAAATAATAACTTATGATTATAAATATATATAAAAAATAATAATATTATTATTTATTTATTATATAATTAATTAATAAAAAAATAATATTATTAAATTTATTATAATATAATATTTATTAAAAAATAAATAATATAAAATTAATAATAATTTAAAAAGATTTATTAAAAAAAGTTAATATTATATTTAGCTTTTATAATTAAAAATATAAGGTTTTCTTTTTTTTAAGTTTATTATTAATTTCTGTAATATTTATTTTTAATATAATATTATAAATATTTTTATTTATATATAATTTAATATAATATAAATAAATAATAATGGATTTTAAGTAAATTTATTATAAATTTATAAGGAATTATATATTTATAATATTTTTATAATAAATTTATAATAAATTTATAATAAATTTACTATAAATTTATTATATATATATATATATAAGTAAATTCTTTATATATTCTCTTAAAATTTATAAAGATATTAAATTATATATTTTTATATTTATTAAAATAATAATTATAATTATATACCTTAATTATATAATTATTTTATAAAAAGATTAAGTAAATTATAATTATTATTATTATAATATTTTAATATTTATAAATTAAGTTATAAGATTTTTTAATAATTAATAATTAAATAAGTATTAACTTAAGCTTTTTTAATTAAATAAAAAAAGATAAAGCTTATTATAATTTAATATATAATGTTTTTTAATATTTTTATTATTATTTTTTAATATTTATTTAATAAAGAATTTCTTATAATTATTTAAGCTATAAATTATAATATTTAAAAGAATAAATATTTTTTTAATTTTTATAATTAAAAAATAAAAATATTTAATAAATATTATAATAATATTTATTATTTAATAACTTTTATATAATTATTATTTTAATATATATAATTTATTAAAGTTATATAAAACTTTTAATTTAAATTAATTAAAAAATAAATAATAATTAAAATTAATATTTAAATTTTAAAAGCTTAAATAATAAACTTAATGTTTTTAAAAATATTTTAAAATAATTTTTAACTTTAATATTTTATAAATTTAAAGTTAATTAAAATCTATATTTATTATTACTAATTATATTAATTAATTTATTATAAAAATATATTTATTTATTAATAATTATTAAATAAAATTTAGTTAAATTAATTTTAATTAAAATATATTAAAGTTTTATAAAAGCTTTATTAAATTATTATTTTATTAAATTATAAAATATTAATAAAATAATATTTTTAATTATTAAATTATATATACTTTATTTTATTAACTTATAATATATAAAATTTATATTTTATAAATAAATATTTTAATTATATAATTAAAGAATTTAATAAAAATAATTAAAAATATAAAGCTTATTAAAAAATTTTAAAATTCTTTAAAATTAAATTTAATATTAAAATTATTATTAAAACTTTAATTTTTATACTTAAATTTAAGAAATTATAAAGAAATTTAAAGTATTAATATTATATATATTTAAATAAAAAATTTTTTTAAATCTTTATAAGCTTTTAAAACTTATAATTTTTAATTTAATTAAAAAATATTTTTAATTAAATAAAATATAAATTTTTATAAAAAAAATAAATTAAAAGTAATAAATAATTATAAAATTAATATTAATTTTAAATATTTTAAATTAATTAAATAAAAATTAATATAATAATAAAAACTTATAAATTTATTAAAAATAAATTATTAAATTATTAATAATTATTTAATATAAGCTTAAATTAAATAATAAACTTTATTTTATTTTAAGCTTTTAATTAAAATAAGAAATTCTTTATAATTAAAGCCTTTTTTATTAAAAGTTTAAAATATAAAAATTATATAATTAAAACTTTAAAATTAAATAATTATTATATTTATTAAGTTTATTAATTAAAAAATAATAAAAATTAATAATATAATTATAGCTAAAAATATTAAAATTTATTAAATAATAAATACTTATTTAAATATAATAGCTTTTATAATAATTAAACTTTTAAGAATATTTTTATTAAATAATTTAAATTATATAAGCATTAAAATAATTTTTAAAATTTAATTTAAATATTTAAAATTAAAAGAATTTATTATTTAAAAAGAATTTTAAAAATGTATTAATTAATATAAGCTATATTTATAAAATAATCTTTATTATATAACTTAGCTTTATTATAATTTATTTTCTTATTTATTAAATATAATTTATTTTTAATTTTAAATAATATTTAATAATAATAAGCATTATAAATTAATTTATTATTTTATAATATTAATTAAATAATTAATGTTTTTATAATTTAAAATATATAAAATTAAATTAATAAAATATTAATTATTTCTTATTTTAATTACTTTTTTATTAATAAAAACTTTTATAAATTTAAAATTAAGTTATAAATAAAGTAAAAAACTTAATATTTATAATAAAAAAATTAAAATAATAATAAAAAAAACTTTTTAAAAAATATAATTATTATTTTACTTTTTAATTTTAATTAAGCTTATTTATTAAATACTTTTATTAATATATATTAATATATTAAATTTTTATTTTTAAGCATTTAAAATAAATTAATTATATTAATAAATTTAATTATTTTAATTTAAAAATTATATTTTAAATTTTATATTATAAAATATAATTTTAAAATAATATTAAAAGTTATTTAATATTTATTAATAAATTTAAAATAAATAAAATAAATATATAAATTTATTTTAAGCTTAAAAATTATTAATTAATAAATTATAATAAAGTTAAAATTAATTATAATAACTTTACTAAAATATATACTTAAATTTATAACTTTATTAATATTTTAATTAATAAAATAATATTAAAAGCTTTTTAAATATTATTATTTAAATATTAAATATAAATAATAATAATTTTTAATATAATTTTTATTATAAAAATAAGTTAATTATTAAAAATTATTTTCTTATAAATAATAAATTATAAATTATAAAAAAAAAACGTTTATTATAAAAAATAATTTAATTTATAAAATATTTAATTAAAATAAAGAAATTAATAAATTAATTACTTTAATATTAAAAAATAATTATTATTTTATTAATAAATTAAATTTATATAACTTAATATAAATAAGGTTTAATATTTATATTAATTTATATTTAAATAAATACTTTTATTTTAATTTTAATTAAATATATTATAAATAAAATATTTTTTTTATATTAAAATTATTACCTAAAAAATATTTAAAAGCTTATTTAATAATAAATTTTTATATATTTATTTATAAAGTAATTTAAAATAAGTTAATATTATATATAAATTAATTATTAAAAATCTTATTATTATATAATAAATTATATATTTATATTTATATATAAATTTAAAGAATTATAAATAAATTATTATTTATAATTTATTATAATATTAAAGCTTTAAAATATATTATTTTTTTAAAATTATTTAAAGTATTTTTTATAAATTATAATAAATTAAATTATAAAAGTTAATATTTAAAAAGTAAATTATATTAATATTATTAATTAAATTAAGTTTAATATATTTTATTAAAATATTATAATAAATTACTTAATAATTATTATTATATATATTAAAATATAAATATTTAATTACTTAAATATTAATTTATTAATAAATTAAAAGTTTATAATTTCTTATTAAATTAATAATTTAAAAACTTAAAAAAAAAAGTTATTTTTAAATATTTTAAATAATATAATTATAAATATTATAATTTTTATTAAAGTTTTTATATAAATATATATAATTAAAATTAATATAAATATTTTAATTTTATTATATTTATATTAAATTATATTAATATTTATTATAAAATTAAAAAAAATATTTTTTTTTTATTTTAATTTAAATAAAAAGATTAAATTAATAACTTAATAAATTATAATTTTATAAATATTATTATAATATATTAATTATTATATTTTATATATATTTATAAAAGTTTTTATTTAAAAATAATTACTTTTTTTTTTTATAATAATAAAACTTTTTAATTAAAAAATTAAAATATAAGCTTTTATATATATAATATTAATTACTTAAAATAAATTCTTTTTTTAATATTAAATTTTTTTAATTTTATTAATTTATTTAATAATTTAAATTAAAGTTTAAATAATAAAATTATATAAAATTAAAAAGCTTAAATAATATTTTTATTAAATAATTTCTTTAAAAAATTATTATAAAAGTTTTTTTTTAAGTTTTAAAAAATAACTTATATAAATAATAAAGTTAAAAATATTTAAAATTTAAAGGTTTATTTAAAATTAAATTATTAAATAATATTTATATTTAT